AATTATAATTAACAAATTAATGATTTATTTTTAATGTCGGTAGTGTGAAACCAACAGAGTTATTATTACGATGCGGCACATTATTACGCGAACAGCCCGGCACTGATTTCAATATCAGCCAGATAATCTCGCATGAAAAATATGACGATCCAAATTATGACATAGCCCTATTGAAAGTGGTTGGTGAAATTAAGCTTGGCACATCTGCCATAGACAAAATAGCTCTCCCATCGCAAGATGTTGACCTAGCACCTGCAGGCGCGATTACCACGGTGACCGGATGGGGACAAAATGCATCAGGTTATTTATCAGAAAAGTTACAGACATTGGATGGACCGGTGGTCGATAGGGAGACCTGTATTAACGACTACAAAGACTTTGATGCTAACGGTGTGTACCGAATATCAGATTACATGTTTTGCGCCGGTTATGATGATGGTAAAAATAATTCGTGTCATGTAAGTAACATAAGTACATATTAATATTAATGTTAAGAAAAGCCCCAATAATTATATACAGTATGACTAGTAATCTTTAGATCATTGATTACTGTATCTGATAGCAGTAAATAATATATTTATGATACTATCAGTTGAAATAAATTGTTTAATGATTTACAAGGGAGATTCAGGTGGGCCATTAAAATATAAAAACACCTTGGTGGGCGTTGTGTCATGGGGCCCAGGAGATTGCACCCAACCTCACTATCCAAGTGTTTATACACGGGTTGGAAAGTTTAGAGATTGGATCAAGGTGCACTCTGGAATTTAAATATGTTGTAAATATATAACGCCAACATATTTACTTTTACCAATATTTAAAAATTGTAAGAATATTTATGATTCTAGAAATTATAAAATGATAATAATTAATTGATATTGTAATAAATTTACATAAAGAATATTAGTGTTGGGAATATTGCACAAAGAGCTATTATCATTTGATGAAAATTTTATTAAATTATATACAATTATATTATGTTTTATAAATTTCTTTAATAATAAATAGAATTTAAATTGATAATTTATTTAACTCAAATTAATTATTAATTGTTAACTATTAACGAAAAAATTTCTTGAAATAATAACTAATAATTAAAATAATTATCAATGCACTTGATTAAAATATGGTACGCTTAATTTATCACTAATTGTGATTTACTATATATTTCATTAGAGAAACGCAAGTGTTACTAGCTAAAGAATTAAGTACTAGCTAAATAACTAAAAGTTAATGTCATATTTATTTTTATCTATTAAATATTTACAAAATAATAATATGGCTATATAGTGACAGAAGGCCAATATGCACATGAAAATAGGCATTAATAATTTTTGTTAAAGTAGAGCCTTATTACTAAAAAAAACTGAATCGTAAAGTACTTGATTTTAAAGTACTTTATTTTATATGAGATAATTTACCTGTATAAATACAAGCTAAACAATATACTTAATATCAGATAATTTACTTAAAATTCTGTCAATAAAAAGCAGAATAAGGGAAAATAAAATGTTAATTAAAAGCA